GCGGGTTCATGAGCAGGAAGTTTCTTGAAGACGATAAGAGCAGCTCTCACACAGACTTCAAGAAATGAAAGGTTAAAGCTGAACTCCAGGAAAAAAAAATGAACCACCTCTAATGATAGGTGTCCCACCTTTGGAGATGCTGCTGCACTTTGTAAAACTTAGTTATTTCATCCCTTCACTAGTGTAAGCACCAAACATCCAACGCTGAGACTTATAGTTCTGTTTCTCATACAGTGATGATAGCAGGTAGCTCACACTCCACATCATGATTCAGAAAATGTTTTGTAGTCTATTCACAATATGCAAGGCATTCTGTGATTGGATGAGGGGAGATTGTCATTCATTCGTTCATCCCTCCACTCCTGTTGGCAATTCATAGAATGTCTTGTACACTGTGGAAAGATTGGTAATAGGACCCCCATCATTGGGGGTAACTTATTTTTTACAAAGCAAATATATATAAAAAAAAAGTTGTTTTGTGGAATTCTGACTTAAAGCCCAACTCTGGGATAAAATTAAATCCCCTGTCCCTGATTTCAGGCATAAAAAAAAAATGTTCTCAATTCCCATTTTTACTAACCAAGCATGGTAAGTGATCCTCCAGCACCGGGTCCTTCAACCGGGTGTTCTTGTCACTGCCTGCATGACTTGCACAATTTCCCTTGGTTGTCCAGCAGAGGTGTCCTCTGAAGATCCTGAAGAAGATCATCATCAGCCTAAGGGATGGACTAAAGGGGGCCAACATTTTTGGGAGTATCTGTAGCATTAGTCCCTGCAGGTGGAAATGGCTATTGTATTCTGACAGCGGGAGGTTTCACCACCACCAGAATGCAATGATTACTGCCATTGGCAGTAATCGCACAGAAAAAAATGACAGGCTGGTTGTACTGAAGTCAATCAGTAGATCAACTTCAGTACAGCCAGCCTGCCTATAGGTGGATTGATATTTGGTTGGTTTCTGCTGAACCAGATGAATTTCAATCCTTCTATGGCTGGCTTTATACAAGCCAGTTGCCAGAACCAGGTGCTGTCACTATTACTAGGTGCGCTTGATGGAGGACCAACCATAGGGAATGGTTGACATTTCCATAGGAAAGTAGAGGCTACGGCAAGAATAGGGGCAGGAAAAAGAAGGAAAGGTAGGTAAAGGCACCAGGATGGGCCCTCTTATAGTGAAAGGGGGAGGGGGGGGTGCTGGTTTTGGTTTTTATAAAACTTGTTTACTTTTAAGGAAAGCTATACTAAGAGAATCTTCATCTGTTATTTCTAAACTCTTCTGAAACAGCAGTTTAACTGACTGTTACCCCTGGTTCACAACAGTGGGGGCCGTGTGGCCTGCGTTTGCTTGGGCACAGCAGCCCTTTCATTTGAATGGGCTACTGTGCCTGGGTTTCACACAAGGAAAAGGTACATACACCTTTTCCAAAATGCATCTGCAAGGAAACTGCATGGCCTTTTTGACTATGTGGTTTTCGTGCGGTTCCCACACCCGTGATTGTGCTGCAGGATGAGATGGGTGGGGATGCCATTCAGAATGAATGGTACCCTTGCGTGTGTTTATTAAAGTATAAAAAATTGCTCTGTTAAAGGGACATTTTTAATAATGTTAATTGTGCTTTGTACCCTGGTTGTTGACAGAGTTTGGTATGTCAGTATAGTAATGTATAGACTGTGAGTCAAGTTGTGACTCCTCCCCCTCACTCCACTTCCCTCTGAACTGCCCCATCCAAGGTTTTGGGGGTTTTTTTGCAGAAATTTTGAGAGGAAGGAGGTTAAAGAGACTTTTATTTTTGGATGCCCCACTACTAAATAATTCACCAATTGCCCTTTTTTGGCTTCATATTAGTCTCTAGTTTCAGAGATTGCCCTACTGCTTTCCTCAGAATGACAAAGAACCCCCTTCCCCAGGAGACGAAGAACCCCCGAGACAATGAGCAGCTGGGTGTCAGTCAAGCACTGGCTAAAAGGAGACAACCACTACTGTTTTTTTTAGATAACCCATAGTACTCTGGGAATCCCTCGTCCTTCATTAAATGTTTACTTTTAAAAAAGAATGCACGTGTGACTATAATACTCAGTGGTTTGGGAAACAAAATGCCACCCCATTTAGGGTTTAAATCTACTTTAGGATCACTTAGCCTGCAGCAAAAAGTAGCAAGCTGAATTTCATTGGTTGCTTTAGACAGATGATGTGGTTGTACAACAAATATAACTTTTTTATTGATTTGACTTGCACAGATTCACTATGTAAGCTGACCTTGTGAAGACGATATTGAGATGAGCCTGCAGAAAGACTGTATTTACTCACCTACCTCTTAAGAATACAGCAAAGGTAAATATTCAGAGAAAATCTTCACTCACATATTTTAGTTTCTGAATGGTTGCCATTTCAAGTATTACGAAGCTGTGTGTCCTCTTTATTTTATATAGTATGAAACGTGACCTGTACTAAACCAGAAGTGCTGCAGAATGCACTGTAATAAATTTTGCTAGTTTTTAAGGGATGCTGTAATGTCTGCTCTGTATAGTGTGTAGGGGTTAAGTAACAAAGAAAAGCTATAAACGTTTCATTTTTAGAGGAAGAAAGTTTCCCCCAGCTGTTATGTTTTTATGGATGCTTTGGGGTTAAAGTAAAGATATAAAGCTGACATGTTTTGTTCATTTTGGAAAGTGTCGGAAATAGTTAAAACCTGTCCAGATTTATTTATTTATTTATATTTGCGATCTGTGTCTCATTGTGGAAATTTTCGCCTTTTTTTCTTTTCTGCAGACACCACAGGAAGTAAGAGGAAATCTCTACAAAGTAAGGGTATTCCCCTCTTTAATTGTCATTTGAACAAGTGTCCCCATTAGATAATCGGCCTTGGACACAGACTGCTGACAGCTCCCATAGCTAATCAAGAACCGATCACATGTAACTGCTTATGGAGCAATCACCTGCGGGTGATTGGCCGTGGATGTAATATCTCCATGAACCATTACATGCAAGCGTCTGCGATTAACTGCGGGAGCTGTCAACCTCCCATTACTTTCAGTGGGACTGCCTCCCACAGCTGTGCAGCGGGAACCCCTCCTGGGATTCACATATTTAATTGGTGTTGGTTCCATTTGCAAGTGTGGGAACATTGGCAGCATTGAAAACCTGATAGGAGCTCTTAAGCTTCTGAAATCTACCCAAAGTGGAGGAAAACATTTTTTGAATTTGGGTACTCTTGAAACTACTGGACAGGTTCTGGGGTGCATGCCTTTTGTGGCCAGTTCTGTGGCAATTCCCCTCTCTGTTAAAAATTATTATTTTTTTTTTTACTGTTTGCATCAGCGGGGCTGCGACATACAAAGATATGTGGGAACACCCAAAACTCCCAAGTGGACACAAGCAGAGTCAGGGCCTGTGTCAGGAAGGTTGTACAGGGCCTGTGTCAGGAAGGTTGTACAGGGCCTGTGTCAGGAAGGTTGTACAGGGCCTGTGTCAGGAAGGTTGTACAGGGCCTGTGTCAGGAAGGTTGTACAGGGCCTGTGTCAGGAAGGTTGTACTTTCCAAACCTAAAAGATTTCCTGGGTTGACTCAGCCCACTACATTACATCTATAGAGAAACATATCACTAGTGGGTGGGCTGACCCTCTAGCTAGCCATACGCATGCTTTTTTAGCTCAGTTGTGTAATCTGCCCAAGCATGGACACTTTATGAGACCAGAGTCACTAATAATTTGACTAAGACACAAATTCTCTTTTCTGGTAAAGTATAAATAAATGTAGATTGCCACTGCCACTCAGATTTTTTTTTTTTTATAGGAAACAAAGAGATCGCTTATTATTAGGGTCATGATGGCTTAAGTCTTGTTTGAGGCTATAAGGCTACATTCACATGGGCAAATTGTCCCAGTGTGAATGACAGAGGCAGGAATTTGCTGATACCTGCTGCTGTTTTTGTGACCTGGTAATGACAAGTCAGTGAAGGCAGCAGCTATCCGTGGTTGTTCACACAGCTAAGGATTCACCTGTGGTGATCGCTACAAGACGCATGCAAAGTGCGGAAGAGGAAATGGGATTTTTTTTTTTTGTACTCCCTCACAATCTCTTTTTCTACACATTCGTACATTGATGGACACAGCGCTTGCCCCTCTGGTTGTGTTTTTGTTGTCTATACTGCTTTATACAGTTTTCTATACTAAGCTGCCTATAGCAGATATGGGGGTTTTGTCACCAGCAGGGGCCGTCTCTTGGTGGTGCTTTTTGTGCCTAGTTTTTTTACTAGATATAGCGATCTAACCCAAGTCAACCCAAGTCAAGATTTTAGTACCCGGCTTTGTCCTCTTAATGAACACAGAAAAAGGGATTTTATGGCGAGTACAAAGATAATTTTTTTGAAACGTCTCTATTGCAGTAATAAGACATTTCTCATGAAACAAGTTTCAGTATGAATATACCCAGTAAGCAATGGAGAAGCTCAGTCCAGTAGATTTGCATTGCAAAGAACTCCGATTTAAAACGTTTTTCTAATCAGAACTTTTTTGTTTGATTTGTTTAAAGTGGAGAAGGGTTAGAAATTTCAAGATTGAAGATTGTATTGCTATATTCTGTTGAGATTTTTTTGTCAGATTTTAAATGCTGTCAGATCCATGATTTCCTTTCCTGTGCCACATTTGTCACCCAGGAAGTGAAGGGAATTATGACTTGTGGAGGCTGTAATGCAGTGCTGATAGAACTTCCAAACATTCCTTGCAATACTAAAAATATTTTTTTTTTGCTGCCACCTGAGACATCAGTAAGGAATTTCCTCTCGCCTCCATCTTCTGTCTGACATCTATTACATAGGCAAGATCTGTCAAATGGGTTAATGATTCAAATTATGAAGGTATCGCTATGTTTACTTGCTTGGGTAATGGAAGAGTTTACTTTTAAGTGGATACTTTTTTTATGTTTTTTTTTTTTGTTTTTTTTATCCTCACTTGTAATAACCCTTATGAAGACAGTAACATAACTCTGCTTTCAGGTCAGCATGACGGCAACAGCTGCAGTGAGTCCTAGTGAATACCTACAACCAGCTGCCTCAACTTCCCAGGTTTGTTGATTCTGTAGAAGTGACGGTCTTAATATGTCAATAATAATCTCAGTGTATAGTGTAGACTGTGAATACCAAATAGGATTTGTTCTGTCTGCTGTAATGTTGTTTACTATCAAAAACCGTTATGCCTGCCTGGATTTTAAGATTTAAGGAATGTATTTAAATGATAAGTTCACCTTTTGGAACATGTTAAATTTTTCTCCCTCTGACTGATAGTATAGGGAGAAGTTTCCCTGTACTATCTGTCAGATTTGAAAATAGCGTGGCTGTGCGGGGCTTCGCCCACGCGGCAGCGTCGCTCATTCTGTGTTCTTTGAGTGCCTACAAATCCCAACAGCCTTAGCGGCTGTGGGCTTGTATCCCGTATGGTAAGCAGATATTCTGACAGGTTTGCAGGAGTACTGATCTACTGATCGCTGGTGCAATGCTTTACAGACTCCTTGGGACAAAAATAATAAATGCACATTTTTGTTATCTGCAAAAAAATGTGCATTTATTATTTTTGTCCAAAAGGTGAGCTTATCTTTTAACAAATGAGATTGGTGTCTGCTTCTACCAACACTGAGACTCTTAAAATGATACTAAGAACTGAAAATGCTGTCACACTAACAGTCAGGGCTTCTGGCATTAGGTGAACCTGTGCACCGCTCTGGATGTGATTAAATACTTGTAGTTATCTAGCTGAGCTGTCCAGCAGTGGTGATGCTCTGATGTTGACAGGGTCTTTTATAGAGATGAGAGGGTTAACACATTTCTTCACTACTTGCAAATTTCTCCATGGTTTATCCCTTTAAGCAGGCTGCAAGCACAGTAAAATAACTGTTGATGTGCCAGAAATATAGTGTGCTGCTACTGTTCTTTGGCTTCATGACACAGTGTATTATTAGCTCCGATTTCGCAAACGTGTGGTGTCAGCCCTGCCTATTTCATTTCTGATGGATTGCAAAGAACACAGACCTCTCCTCATCTCCATCTTTGCAATGCATACATTTTTCTCCACTTTTCTCCTTTTAAACAGGCTGCAAAAAAAAACTGGTTGATGTGCCAGAAATATAGTTTTGACATGACAATATAGTGTATTTTTAGCTCCCAAGTACGTGGTGTAAGCTTTGCATGCTTAATTTCTAATGGATTCAAAGAACACAGACCTCTTTTCATCTCAATAGCCCATCCTTGTGCACAGGCAGAGAGCACATGAGTTGTCAGCTCACAATATTTTTGGAAAAATTAACAGTACTTTCATACAATTTCTAAAAAAGAGAACCAAACTTTTTCAGTGGAATTTAACAGACCAAGACAGAGCAAATAAGTTAGCCTATTGTGTCCTTACATAAATGGGCATTTCGAGGCAGAAAAAAAGCCAGTGTGTCCAGGAGAGAAACACCTGATGCTCCTAAACAGGCTTAAGTGTTCGGTGCATTTAGTACTTGAGCGTTCATTCACTTAAGTGGAGAGTTAATATTCTTGCACATTTAATGAAGGAATGTCCAAGCGCTTGACGTGCCTAAATGCATTTACAAAATTCATCTTTAGGGGTGATTTTTTTTAATGCTGCATTTGCCTCCTCTAGAGCAATGGCATCCAGGGGAAGGAAAAAAAAGTAATTTGTGCATGAGGACCTAAGCATAGTACACACTACTAGGTTTTTTTTCGTTCAATCCAGCGGTCTGAACGGGAAAAAAAAAAATGACAGCTCAGGAGGAGCCACTGTACTAACTATTCGATCTTAGTACAGCAATCTCCCCTACTCTGCTATTGTGTTCTGACAGAGGGGATGACATCCCCCCTCCAAAACACTGCAGTCAGCACTCTGTCATTGGGGGCCGATTGGCAGACCTTTTTCGGTCAGGACCGGTTGATGTCGCCCGACATTCAGCCCGGCTTTAGGGTTTACTTACACTATAAGTGCCCAGTAAAGACAAAAGGATGGCATTTGGTGGATCTTCTCTATCAAATAAGAAAATGATAAGCCCAAGCAACGTAATGTAAAGTAAAAGAAAAAATTGTACAGAGTAACTCACTCACACCATGCTAGTCCATTGCAATACGCGTTATGTCACATATTACCGTGCATTGTGAGTTGAATGGGCTTCCAGCATACCACACTGTACTGTACATCACACCTGCAGTATTTGTGTCAATGTAAAGCCCATAGGTGCATTGCTTGCCATCCAGAATGTGTGGTAGTGCACTAACACAGAGTTAACATGCATTACTGCAGTTCACTGGTGTAAACTTTCCTTAATAAAGATAATAGCAGACAACTTGTGATTTCTAACCTTAGGCAAGATGCTTATTTAAAAGTTACCAATGCTTTGTTCCCACCGGTGCACTGCTGTGTGTGATAGTGCACCATGCACACGGTGCATTGCAGTGCCATTGACTTTAAATGGCACACACAATAAGGCACTCTACAACTGAACCCCTCCTGGGTGAAACATGTTAAATGGGGTTCTCCCATGGGTAGGAGACCAAGTTGAAGCTTTTTTTTTTTCTATTTCTTTACTATATGCCGTGACAATGTTCGGAGGGGCGTCATTATTTGTTTTAGAACTACTTTGTGGTGCACTGTTATCATAAATGCTGCTGTTGAAATTTTAGTCTGTTATGGGGCATTGTCAGCGTTTTTGAAGAAATACGTTGTTCTTACGCAATGCATTATAATATTTATTTTAATGTGTGTGCATTATATGCACTGTGATAGGCTGCCATGGTGTGTTTGGGCCTTTTAAACCTTGTAAGGTTCCTACTGACTCTCTCCTGGGCAACCTCCATTCCCATGAGACTTGTAACAACACTATTTTGTTTCCTTTCAGGATACACAGCCTTCTCCCTTGGCTCTCCTTGCAGCCACATGCAGTAAGATTGGACCCCCTGCAGTTGAATCAGCTGAGACTCCTCCTGTACCATCACGACCAGCCCGAAAAAGACTGATACCTATAAAGCCTGCACCATTGCCAGTGAGTCCAGGGAAAGCAGCCATAGGCATTCTGTCTGCTAAAGGAAATGTCATCCAGATCCCACAGCTCAGCACTGCTAATGGGCAGCTCTTCTTTACCATCCAGAACCCCATGAGCAAAACTGGCCATTTTCAAAACGTGCAAACCACCACCCCCCAGGAATTCCACAGAATATGGGAACTCAGTTCCAGATTGTCAGTTCCACTGATGGCGGGGCAACTCTTCAGCTTGCTCCAGTCTCCAACTCCACCAAACACGTACCAATAAAGCCTGCTCCTCCACAAAAGCCCAACAACATAGTGAAAGTGACTGGAACTGCTGGCAACAGCCTCACATTGGCATTGCCTCTTAATAGTCTACAAGACTCTTCCAATGAAGCAAGCTCTCAGCTTCTCCCAAGCAAACAGAGCAAAAAGGCACGCAAGAAACCATTTCAAACAGCACCAACACCTAGCTCTCCCTCCCAGGAGCAGGTGGAGACTGTTGTGATAGAGACAACAGCAGACAACATCCTGCAAGCGGGTAACAACTTGGTGATTGTCCAGAGCCCAGGCACAGGGCAGCCAACCGTACTTCAGCTGGTACAGCCCAAGACGGACACTCAGATGGTGCAGATACCCCAACAGGCACTGAGGGTGGTTCAAGCAGCATCAGCCACTCTGCCAGCCGTGCCACAAAAAGCAGTACAAAATGTCCAGAATACCGAGATTGTACCCACACAGGTACTAATACATGCCAATTATGGCATACTGTATTGAGATTGTTTCTCCCAACCCCTCAGTCCCTCTCAGTCTTGGAGGACAGAAAAGTATATGTTGATCTTTTTAGCAAACAGTAAGGGGGCCTTTTTTGCTCTCTTGTCAATAATATTCTGCTTGAATCAATTAATCTGATCCTTTATTTTCTGTTACAAATTGATGCCTCTTACCACCTAAGAATCATTAAATTTATGAATTATGATCTTCTAGTTTTATGAATTGCTGAATTAATTGCTAGATCCTCTGCAGATGGGATGAGTTCAGGAAAATAGGTGTTTTTTTTTTTTTTTTCCTTTGTTTTTTCCTTTGTTCCACCCCACAAAGGATCAGGTTTGGTTGGTCTTCCCATTTCACTGACTGATTGATACACCTGTACTGTGGAGTTATATCCAGCTTGTTTTGGATCTGCTGATGTTGGGTGCTTTTTAGAAGTGCATTTGACAACTGGACGTTTTTCATATGATAGGATTGTGAGAAATGCTCTTGCAAACTAATGTGTGTTTTGTTGGGTTCTTTTTTGGAAGATGATCTCGGTGTTCCACAAGTGCCTCTATACCCTATCTTACTTGCATAAAAGTTAGTGGTGCACCGAAATGAAAATTCTGGTGCCGAAACCAAAACTTCAAAATGCACTTGGCCAAAAACCGAAATGCGCAGTTTTTAAAAAATTAATATGTTTTTTGGAAAAAAATACACTTTGACAAAAAAAAAACTATATACCCCAAATGTTTTGAAAAATATGAAAGAGGATGTTACGGCGAGTAAACAGATACTCAACATGTCAAGCTTTAAAATTGCGCACGCTTGTGGAACGGCATGAAACTGCGGTACATAAAAATCTCCATGGGTGATGCTTTAAAAATGTCTACAGGTTAGTAGTGTAAAGTTACAGAGGAGGTCTAGTGCGAGAATTATTGCTCTTGCTCTGACGTTCGTGGCGATACTTCACATGTGTGGTTTGAACACCATTTACATATGTGGGCATGGCCTACGTACGTGTTCACCACTACGTGGGGGGACTGGGGCACTTTAAACTTTTTTTTTAATTTATTGGTTTGTTTGTTTTTTTTTTTGTTTTTTTTTGTACTGTTCCTTTTTAAAAAAAAAAAAAAAAAAAAAAAAAAAAATGTAATCACTTTTATCCTTATCACAAGAAATGCATGCATCCCTTGTGATAGAAATAATTAGTGACAGGTCCTCTTTATGGAGAGATATGGGTTCAATAAGACCCCACATCTCTCCTCTGCAATGTAAAGCATTGGATCAAAAAAAGCATTGATCTAGTGCTTTTAAGAAAAAAATGGCCAGAACCGGAAGTGACATCGCTCCAGTCCTCCAAGGGCATAGAGATGAGTGGAGGCCATCTTTCCTTCACTCATCTCTATGCCCAGCGCCGAGATCGTTCGATGGTTTCTCAGGTAAGGCTGAAAACTAGCGGCGGGTTGTGGTGTTTTTTTCGGCACCTGTATCTGAGCTTTTTTTTTTTTTTCTTTCATTGCGGCCGAAAGGGGTGAAACATTTTGGCACATCCCTAATAAAAGTTCCCTGTATATTAGGTAATGAAGATTTGTCAGAATATTCTCCTTTATTTTAGTTGTGGCAGTTGCAAAAACTGCTATTAAAGTGGTTCTCCAGGTTTGTTTACTTTAAAATAATAAACACATCATACTTACCTGCTCTGTGCAATGGTTTTGCACATAGCAGCCTTGATCCTCCTCTTCTCGGGTCCCCCAACGGCACTTCCGACCCCTCCCCCTTGCCAAGTGCCTCCAGAGCAAGCTGCTTACTCTGGGGGCACTCGTGTATGCTCGCTCCCAAGCCGGTTCTCTGTGTCCTTGGGATACACAGAGCGTGGCTCAGCCCTGCCCCCCCACTCCCTCCTCCCTGGCCGTGATTGACAGCAGTGGGAGCCAATGGCTCCCTCTGCTGTGTCTAAGCCAATGAGGAGGGAGAGAGCCACTGCTCTTGTGCACATCACTGGATTGAGTTCAGGCTTATATAAGAAAGTGGGGGGGGGGGGGCTGCTGGGAGAGCTGCCCACTGAAGATTTTTTGCCTTTGTGCACAGGATGCATGAAGGTAAAAAACCTTCACCCTTTACAACCACTTCAATAATTTCCCGTGAGCCAGAGCTGGTACTTGTCTACATAAATTAGAACAGAGTGTAGAAGAGTTGGTGACCACTGTGACCAATCAGATTTCTTAAGTCGTCGTCACTGTGCTAATTAGAAATTGTGTTGGTAGAGCAACAGCCTTCTGTCTCATTTATTCCGTTTTTGTTCATGGGACTTGGAACTTTTGCAATTTCAAGTCAGTGCTTTAAAGCCTATCTCTAGGGAAAGCTAAAGACAGACCCTTTCACCAGAATACCCTGTGATGCTCCTTTATACACACCCAAGTCCACTGTCCACAACTTTCATCGGCACAGCTGTGTTGACTGGTAATGAGTGCTGACTGGTTGTTTCTTCGTAACATCCACATGCAAAAGGTCTTCTGGAGCCTGAGAGAACCCCGTCGCTGGACTTTATAGAAAGTATTAGTGTCTGGGTGACTGGGACAGCAAAAAGGGACCCTTCTTCTCTGCAGTGAAGTAGATGTGGGACTCGGTGTGTCACATGACCACAGATTAGGGAAGTAATTGTGGCTTTCTGCTTAGGATTTTTTTAAACCAGCCTGGCAATTAGTTGGGGCCAAATGAGGGGTGTTGCCTGGAGTTTGGCTTTAAATTGCCCATAAACCTACCTATAAAGGTAATATTGTCAAGATATGGCATTTAAAAATATTCCACATCTTTACAGAAAATAAGTGAAAGTACATCCTTTTTTTTTTTCTCATGAATTGAGCTTTTGGTGCTATTTGATTGCCTGTGCGGGTTTTTTTTTTTTTTTTTTTTTTTGTGCTATAAAAAAAAGAGAAAAAAAACTATATTTTTGACTTTGTGCTCTTAAACATGTCCAGTAAAAAAAAAATTTTAAAAATCGAATTTCGTCATAAATTTAGGCCAAAATGTATTCTGCGACATGTCTTTGCCGAAAAAAAATCTCAATACGTGTAAATAAATTTGGTTTACGTGAAAGTTATAGCGTTTACAAATGGTATATATACTGGGATATTTGATTTATTATTAATAATGGCGGCGATCAGCGACTTATTGCGGGACTGCGGCAGGGGGGAACTGACTTGGTGTCACTGACATCCCCAGTGACACCAATACAGTGATCCGTGCTAACAAAAAAAAAAAGCACTGACACTGTACTAATGGCACTGGGCAGGAAGGGGTTAACATGAGGGGTGATCAAAGGGTTAACTGTGTGCAGGGAGTGTTTTACTAGGGGGTGGTGTCTGTGTGTTTCACTGTAATCACACTGCTCTGGATGGCTGTGCTGTGCAACGGTTGTAAACCTAAATTAATCTACAGACAGCACTGTATAAACTGTACCTGCATTGTGTTTGTTTAGTATCACTCCCAGCCTTGTTCCCATTCCCCAATATCTCCTCCAGCAATTTTTCCTGACACCATGCAATCCATGGTGACGGTTTCTTTAGAGGATTGATAGAACGTGTAGAAAAGACACATGCACGAGTCTCCCAGTCATAATTTGTAAGGGTGTGTGTCCAACTGTGACTATGCACTGTTATGACACGATTTTCTGTGATTTTTTTGTTTTTTTTTTTTTTTGTTTTTTTTTTGATCCTGTGATCAGTTGCTTACACTGGATCTATAAATGACTACTGAAATATCACATAATGGAGAGAAAAAAAAGGCATTCTACAACCCACAATGCAACCTATTTGTAGTACTGTGCTACACTGTCCATGATAGCAGGGTTGGGGGGGAGGGGGATAAGCCCATTACCTTTACCACAATAGAGAACAATGTGTTCCACAGTTTAAACACCTGTCCCTGTAGCTCTAGTTTAATAATTCAGGGTGACAGGTACTGGCCTAGCGTTTAGTTGCTCTCCATGGCAAGCTATTTAGGCAATGGTGCTAATATGGTTTTATTGATTTTTACAACTTCACATGCTAAAACGGTATCCTGCTCCTAATCAGATTATCATTTCAAAGGACCTAAATTGAAATGCTAATATAAAACTGAGAAGGGTTGGAAAACTTTTCTCCTAAAATAAACTCCTCTCCAGGATCATATGCCTGAAAGCGTTAGATGGGTGTTCTCTGCTAAAGCGGAGGATCCACCAGTCTGGGACTTTACCGGCAGTGCCTGCCTGGAGTTTGCATGTTCTACCTTTGCCTGTGTGGGTTTCCTCCGGGTTCTCTGGTTTCCTCCCACACTCCAAAGACATGCTGGTAAGTGAACTGGCTCCTGTCTAAATTGGCCCTAGTATGTGTATGTATGAATGTGGGTTAGGGACCTCCTTGAGGGTTAGGGACTTGATGTGAATGTGTAAAATAGATATATATATACAGAAAAATAAATATGCAGCGCTGAAGAACATGAGATAACTAGTAATGATAATAATAAAACAATATAATGTAAACTTATGCTACAGCCGAGCGCTATTATTTTTCTGTTTGTCATTTTAAGGTGTTGAGGTTTTACCTTTTTATATATGCTAGCTGCTCCTTTTCCTATATATTTCTGCGCTCGCAATTACTCCCATTACACTAATATATATATATATATATATATATATATATATATATATATATATATATATATATATATATATGTGTGTGTGTGTGTATAGCAAAGCACTGTGTAAATTGATGGCGCTATATAAGTACCTGTAGTACTAATATAATAATTTGGGTAGGTCTACCTAATAGTGTTACTATCTCATTAAGACAGTGAATAGTTTCCATGTTTACCCACCAAGTATAAAAAGATTATAACTTGTGCATCTAAATACATCAGTGCTTCCCTCACTGACACTGAAAGAGCAACTTTCTGGTAATTTTGTAATTCAACAGATCTCTGGTTTCTGACATGTCAAACACCAGTTTAATCATATTAACAGGTGGTGTGAGGTTTCAGGCTGG